AGGGAATGAGTGCATAGATTACCTGGCGTAGTTGTGGCCATCATACACAAAGAAGAGATCTGCCATGGCGCCGTTGCAGTGATGGAACAGCTCGAAATTGTTGGTTTTCACAGCAAAATTCATCATAAAGACCAGCCTTGCATGATCCATCATGGAGAGCCAGAACATGCCCGTTTTGCCCAGGTGGCCCCTGCGTACCTTGTCTTGGTATTGGAGGTAGTCACCAATCAGCTTGAGCAGTGTGGGATCCTTCAGAGTGGAGTTGAGGCTCTCAGAAGTGCAAGAGTGGATGAGGTTGAAGAGGATCTCATATGGGATGTCTGGTTTCTCCTCCTCTAGAAAAACATTGAACAGCAACCGTTCGAGTGCCTCTGTGACCACCTTCAGACTGAAGAGAGCCTTGGCATATGACTTCCCGCTCAGGATATTTTTCAGGCAACCACTGTTTGCGAGGCCAGCTTCTATGAGGATCTCGGCGTAGCCAGCTCCAAGACACTTGTGCCCAGTGAGTCTGCCCATGTAATTCATGGCTGTGTGGAACTTGCCAATGAGGTTCACATGCTTACTGAATTCCTCCTCGTACTTCCATACTATAGGACAGGCTTTCATGACGACTCCCAGGTCAAACGTGTTGATGGTGTATGGCTGTCCAACCTCCTCAGTTGCTGCCTCGGATCTCTTGAGTAGCTCATACACTACTGCGTTGTCTGTAATGGGCTGGTTGATGGGGGTGTACAAGTCGATGGTATATTTCCTAGGAGGCACTTTCCCTGTGCTTGAAATAAAACCACCAAATCCAGGCACTTGCTGCTTGCCCTGGCTGCTCAACCATCTGCTGAGGAGGTGGGTGTTGTACTGCAACATTGAGGCATCATATGACACTTGGTTCTCAGCAGGAGGGGTAAAGTTGGCATTCTTGGGGAATTTGGGGGAAACTCTTTTGAATGCCAGCTCTGGCAGCGTCTCGGGAGGCGTGATCTTAAGGCTTCTCATCTTGGATGACCTGTCATAGAGAGGAAGGGTCCTTTTCTTGGTGCTCACATGGCTCTCCTTCACTTCTTGAATCATGATTCCCCCGGCGCTGTTTACCACATTTGAACCATGAACGTTGGTGGTGATTCTGTTCAGGTTGTCCCACTCGCTGTGAAAAACAGTGTTTCCCTCGCCAGTGATGATTTGAGGGGTCAGGTTGGTGGACATCTCATCAAAAGCCTTGGCCATGGCTGTCTCAAGTTCCATACTGAAGTCATATGTCTCTGAGTGTCCTAGTCGTGAAAGGATGGTTGTGAGCTGTAAAGATAAACAAATGTTTTTTTTATCAATATCAAATACCTGTATGAAGCATAGTTGAGCAATGACAATGTAGGACCTCATAAGCAATAAGTTAGCTGATCACTCACCTGTTTGCTTCGATAGAGGTGCCGAAGTGTGGCACACAGGAGGATGTGCTTTGGGAGTTTCCACTTGCTGTTAGTTGCTGCTCAACACACATCTTGTGTAATCGAATAGACCAGCCTCTGCGTCTTCTCACACTTTTCTTCATCAAGTGTCCCAGTCACCACTGAGCTCAGACATTGTACAAGATGCTCTGGGAGCAGTTCATCCATTTTCACAGCATCTAGCTCCTGTGCATTTGGGGGCCATGGTAGCTCCTTTGACTCTTTGAATGCCTTTTTAATGTGAGAATTGAGGGTGAGTGCTGCTTCTTGTAGTTGATCAGATGTTCCAAGTTTGTACGTACATTTAACTGCTTCATCTACAGTAATGCTTGAGCTGTATATAAGGTTCAACTCAAGACAACCATGGTGTGGTACCTTTGAGAATGTGAGTTCACGAGATATGTCTTTGTCTCCTTGTAAACGTCTTGCCAATTTCTTACTGCGGTATTCAGGATTAGGAAAACCTTCACCTTTCAGTGTCTTCCTGTACAAGTTGCACATGGATCTTAGCTGGACGACTTCTTTGTGTTCATACACATTCCTAAGAGAACAATCCTTTACTACAAAATAGGACTTGTCATGTGCTGCCATTTTCCGGGCCTGCGGGCTGTCAATGTTGTCTGCTGCCTTTTTTCCTCTCTTCCTTCCACGCTCATGGTTTTGGTACTCATTGTTGAAGTTATTTCTGCATATTGGATGATACTGAGCTTCCATAGCAAAAAGGTCCTTGCCTTGCACCTTGCGATAAAGATCCTCTTTCTTCAATTCCTGTGCCCTAGGTTCGATAAAATTCCAGGCTGGTTCTTTGTGTTTCCAACTCTGAAACTTTTTTAGCTCTTCAGTCTTCCCCTTGAACTTGGTTGTTGTTTTGTCACAGATACACTGATTTGGGAACAAGAAGGAACACCGAGCCCCTTCAGTTTGACTAGAGAGACATTTGGGATGGCGTAGGGAGTCCTTTATCGATGACGATGATTCACCAGATGTAGAAGCCTTTGACACTTTTAAACGATCCAATTTCCATGTGAAGGTTTTGTAGCAGTTTTGATGATAGCCAGTTTTATCCAAAGGCAAGCCTTCTAACGTCAATGGTATTTGGTCACAAATATCCTTCATGCGGTATGGTGAGGTGGCTGTTTCGCAGAGTCTCATATCACGAACACTGTGTAGATACGATAGCTTCTCGCTTGCCCCCCCCTTGCATTTGCCGAGCATGATACAATTACCATACTCAGAAGTTGAGACATGTAAAATACATGTTATCGATCTAATCCTCTTTGGAGGCACTTCAGCTGTGTTACAATGTTTCCTTTTTCCCCATTGTCAGCAGTTTATGAAGTAATCAGCCTGAATAAAGAAATTAGAAACATTAGATAGCTACCAACACTCTGAGGAGGACCAAATGATGAAGTATAGGCCTACAATGTTTCCTTTTTCCTATGGTTAGTATGAGTAATCAAACTGAAAATAAAGAAACACATTATCTAGCTACTAACTTAGCTAGCTACCAACACTATAGTCAAGAATACAATGTTTTTTCCTTTTCCCTATTGTTAGTAGTGAGTAATCAGCCTGAAAATGCTGAAAAACATTAGCTAGCTATCAACTCAGCTAGCTACCAACTTAGCTAGCTACCAATTTAGCTAGCTACCAACACTACTTAGTCAAGATTATAGATGTGATTTCTGTATACCTTTTGTTGAAGAATTACTTGTATATGACTATTAGGTATATCTTAATAATACTTACTAAGAAAATCCTTGAGATTGTTCCCAAAGAAAGCAGTGGGAGATTGCCATCTGCAGGTAGCCAGGTACCAGGTAACCAACGGCAACCAACTGCCGAGCCCCGGTCACCAACATCATCAGCTTGGTACCCAATATTATCCAAAAATAAACACTTAAAGTATTAGAAAAAAACTGATTGTGAACGAATATTCACTATGCACTTTAAAAAATGAAAAGGTAGTTGGTCATACACACATGTTTGGTCATTTCTTGCTGTTTTTGTCCAGAAATACAGTCAAAATGTTGTCAAATGTCAAAAATAACCATCCCATTGAATTCCTAGGGTCAGATTTGTATGGAAAAATGTATTAATTTGTCTCTGTATGTTGTTTACTTCAAAGGTTATGCCTCTTGCTACATCACATTTTAATGTTTCGGTTTTGGGTTAGGTGCAATAAAGGGTTACAAATGGAGCCTTTTGGACATTATTTCAGCTTGGCACCTGGCAGATTCTGAAAGTAGACACTTTAAGGATTAAGAAAAATCAGGTGGCATAAAAAATTCCGAGGGGTGCGCGTGGACCCCTATTTCCATCTAGACTAAAGCCCTTAAGGATTTCCCATATTCTGCCTCCAACCAAGAGCATGATTCAAAGCATACAATTCAGCTTGGTACTTTATCTTCTGTCCCAACCTCCTCGGTGTACTTATGCAATAGATATAATAGTTGTTCATGCATTAATTGTATTTTCATTCGAATCCTGCAATCTTCAAGTGCTAAGTATTAAGCCACGCTAGAGTTCATTCATTTGCTCCTCAAGGGCCTTAAGAAGGCACATCCTCCACGCAATGATAAAGACTGCCTCTTAACTTTGCACCCGTGCAAAGGTTAATGTATAAGTTCAGGCAAAGAGGTTTCACTATAGGCTACATTGATAAACGTCAGATGCAGTTGTTACAGCTTTTATTGGTTTCTCAGGTGGCGAATATACAGACCTCTCACCTTTTAATCCTCAGCATAATCTCTCTCTTACTGAATTAACTTTGGAGATCAAATATACACACTTTTGAAACATTCAATGTCTGACATTTCTGTTTGGGGAGTCAAGGAACCCCGAATAATCATTGCTAAAACTAACACTGTTTTCTTTGTCCTTTATCTTCCATGCTGAACTTCTCGCATCATTGCCCTCTGACACATGGGTCGGCACCCATGTTTATTCGATGGCTGCAAACCCAACGACGAGGGTTCTCCTCCAAGCTGCGTGATCTCTGCCTAAGCTGCGACCTGCCCCAGATCGCTATTCCCACTGTTTAAGAATCTGCACAGCCACAACCGCAGCTCTATATCCGCCTACCTCAACCCTGAGTATCCTGGGCCGTTGGTCATCTTCACACACTCACAGAAATATTTAACCCTAACTTTTAAGATTTATGTAAAATAATTACATGACAAAGTTCCATTTAATATTTTTGAACATAAACCTATCTAATAAACTTTACATGATGCATATGCATCAGTGTAATAAAGCCTATTCATTTGAAATGCATATTCACCAGGTTTATGTATGCAGTATTAATATAATTTATTGAATTTAAATGCATATTAATCAGATTATGTATTCAGAATACATTAAGTATATTTGTTTGAATTACATAGTAATTAGGTTACCTATTCAAGATGAATAATGTGTATGTGTTTGAAATACATAACAATTAAGCTTAAATTCAATCAAAATGCATTAGATTTATGTATTTTTGTGATTAATATCCAACTAATTTTTCTATTTTCCATTCAACAATATCTCAATGATTCATACAATCAGACCACCTTGTTGATTCAACAAATGTATTAACATTAAAGCAAACCTCTTCTCTTCACACAGACACAGTACTCAGCAGGTAGTGTAGCTCTTCAACCAAGTCATCTTGTAGATGGAACATGTAAAATGTTTTCTAACTTTAATAGAACAGAGACAAGTTAGGAAGGTTAAACAAAGTGTTGACTGAGCACCTGCCGTTTCTAGCTTTCTGTGAATCACCTGAGCAATTTGAGCATCAGTGCTTGTACTTTGGGGGAAAGCTTGGACGATTCCAGGTCCATCAGGATCTTCTAGTAAACTTCGAATGTATTCTTCAAGCTTTTTGGATAGCTTAGATTAAGTGCGTAGATCAACCCATAAAGCATCACGCATGCATGGTTGATACTCTGGAGGTTGTGTAGAACTTCGACCCCTTCCAGGACCACACCGACATCTGCAAAGCGTCCACCAGGACCATCAGGATCATCACTCTCAGCTCGAACGGTGTAGATTGCCATAGTCGTCCCTGCGACGTCTGCCTCGACCTCACGGCATTCGATGTCCTGAAAGATGGAGAGAACAATGAGCTGTGTCACTCTAACCTTGACCTTTGACCACCAAATTCTAAGCAGCTTATCATTGAGGCCAAGTGTGTGTTAATTTGAAGAATTCCATTAAGGCACTGTAGATATAGCGTTCATAAAAATGAGATGGACACAAGTTCAAGGTCATAATGACCTCAAGATCTTTGACTCCCTAAAAGCCTGGAAAACAAAACAAAAAGTCACATTATGTATAAATGGAGTTGTACATTCAATGATCATCAACTATTTAAATATGATAAAAAGTGGTGTTTGAGCATTGTTGATCACAATGAGGGTCGCGTTAAAGAATCTCGATAGCATTTTTTACCGTGTTTGTGGGTACGTGCCATAAAGAACAGCATGTCTTTAAAGTAATACTCTTAATCCTTTAATTTAGAGAATTTGTAATGGTGCACATGAAACATAAGACAGTAACTTACATGTTCATAGGTTAGTCCTCCTCTGAGGGTAAGGTTCCGAGCTTCTTTAAGATGTAAGGATTTCCGGGGAGACAGAAGAGACTGCACTGTATCCAATGAAGCCTTTGACCTGCCACAATAAAAATGGAGTCAACAAAACATCCCAACTTAAAATGTAAAAAAAGAAAAAATACAGGACCAGGAACCCATTTTATTCAGAGATCTGTGAAGTAAATGAAAACATTCTCATCAGTAATCAATATCTGAAAGAGCCAAATAAGAAACTGTTCTTTGATACAATGTAGGGGAGAAAGGACAGTAGGAAAGAGGCAAACCTCTTCTGTCCACCCCCCGCTCCCTCACTCCTACCCTCCACCATCTCTTCTCACCTCCTCTCTCCTAATCTCCTCTCATAGGGTAATGTTTACTCCTCCCTCCTATCCAACCCTCTCCAAACCTCTCTTGTGCTGTCCTCCCTCCCTCTCTCCTAACCTAATTATGTTTCCTGTTAGGAAATTGAAGGAACTAACCTTTCCCTATCCTGATCTTCTCTCCCCTAACCCATCAACCCTTGAAAATGCCCCCTTCTACTAAATAGAATCAGTCCCAACAGCCAAAACAAAGTACCGTAATTTTCAGACTATAAACCGCGCCTTTTTCCCCATTTTTCGACCCTGCGGCTTATATAACGGTGCGGCTAATCTATGGATTTTTACAGCTAACGGCCACTAGGGAACCTCCTAAATCTATGGATTTTACAGGTTACAGTCCACCACCTTTAACACTATGGGCTCTATGACCGGTCCGTGCCCGCCACCTTTCAGCGGCGGGCTCCAGCAGGCAAAGCTGGAGGCCGGAAAAGAGTGAGACAGGCAGCGCGCCAAAGTAAAAGTGGAACCGAGAGTGGTACGAGAGACAGAACGAGAGCAAGACAGACAGACATTACGAGAGCGAGACAGTTTGTGCAAAGGAAGTTTTCATGCACAAACCCTGCCGGTACGTGCGCTGGGAGCGCACCGTTTAAGTTTGAAAGTTGAAAAGTTTGTGTGTCTGAAACGCTATGTGATACAGTACAGTTTACACAGCACAGTACATGTTCTGTAGCTACTATTGCACTAAATGGTAACACTTGAATACGTTATGAAAAAATTACGGTATCCTTACTACTACACTGTTTTATGACTTACCTCTTGACATCCGGCTTTGGCTTTACTGACTGCCTCAGATCCTCAGCTGCCTTTTGACAGAGAAAAACAATAATTATCCCATTATTTCTCTCCATGGATATCAGCCCTAAATACACTACAATGTATGGTAAAGGAGGAAGACAGGAATAGCATTATCTTTGTAAACTACATTGTAGAAAAAATCGAGAATTAACCCATTTAGCCCTACTTTTACACCTTTTTAAAATCCTATGCTTTATGTATGAGTGAAGTTACACTGTGGTAGGAGGTAACACACAATAAAGCTATATGTGTGAGAGCAAGAGAGAGACACAGACAGACAGGGAGAAGATCTAGGGGAAGAGAGAAAAAGCAGGACGGAGAGACAGAGAGAAGAGGGAGACAGCCAGACACAGAAAGAGGGAGGGAGAGAGTCAGAAAGGAGAGAGTAGGGTGAGACAGACAAAGTGTGATAGGATAGAGAGGGAGAGAGAGACCAGTTGATCAGTCTTGTGTTGGTTAGAGTTCCAGTCAACATGTCCACTTACTGGCAATAACTTCAAGGAAGACAAGAAGGATTCCCTCTCTCTGATGTTCTCAAGGCGTTTGAGTTCATAAGCAGACAGTCCACAACATGTATCCTACACACACGCGCGCGAGAGAATCAAGTTGATCAGAATCAATAATCAAAACCGACCTGACATAATCTGAAAGGCCTATCTTACTAAATAACATTTCCAAAACAGGTGTCAATTACATAACTGCTGCTTTATGAGAACTATCAAGTTTCTGTGTCCTCACCTTCTTGTTTGGGGCATAATTGTCGTCACTGGCATATTGGAGGCGCTTAGGTGCCAGGACCCGACCCTTAACCTCAAGCTCCTCCGGACCATGTGGATTTACTTCCTACAAGTAACAGCAGTACCACCATTGCCTTGAGGGAATTTATTACTCAAAACAAACAACCCATTGGACTCAATGACGAACTATTGGTGTTCAAGGTCAATGTGACCTAATGTCCATCCCATTCTCATGAACGCCACATGTTATCAGGCACACCTGGAGGGAAATTAATTACATCTGGCACAAAGGACAGAAGGATGACATATTTACCACATATTCTTTGACCAGTGTGTCCAGGTCTTCATTGAGGTAGATGCTCAGACAGCTCAGCACACAATCACGCCTCACGTTGATGTCTGCACTCTGAAACAAACATTACATGATTCCATGCTGGTCAGTGTCAGAGACGCATGTGCTGAGGCCAGCCAAGCCACTGACATTTCCCTCCTTGACCATCCTGAACTCACCTGGTTTCACCCCACTCAGTTAAAACTCACACAGGTCTGAGCCCGTTCACTACACAGTAATTTTGAAAGTGCCTATCCTTTTCCAAACCGTTAACAAAAGGAGCTTTCCCATATGGCTGAGTCAAACAAACCATATGTGTATTAGGTTAGACCAAAAAATACTTACATTATCCGTCTTTGCCATCACGGCTTTGATCTTTCTTCCTGCAGCTCCACCTTTGGTATGGAAAACTCTGATCAGGTCGTCGGTCAGGCGGTCCAGTTCTCCAGGGAATTTGGAGGTCAGAGGTACAGTCGTCAGCCGCATAAACTCCAAGTTGATCTGTAAAAGACAACACAGACAGGATACAGACTTAAACAGGGGCAGCTGTAGCTCAGTTGGTAGAGGGGTCATTCATAGACCGAAGGTCAGTGGTTCGAATCCCGGCTCTGACTGTCCACATGTCAAAGTGTCCTTGAGCAAAGCTAGCACACTGCACAGTTGGGTGCACAAAAGTGCTATTTAAGTGCAGACAATTTACCAGATGTGTGACATTGAATACATGAGTTACTAAACTTCAGATTCACACTTACCTCACTGACGTCAAATAGTGCTGGCCATTTGTTTAGGAACTCTGGAATCTTTGGCTCCTGGAGAATCTCCTGTCTCCTAAGCGAGAAGGTACGCTGCATCTTCTCCTTATATGATATGATTAGGGAGTAAGAATATTATACAAACTGAGTGTAATAGATAAAGAAAAATGAACTGTGCAAAGTAACCAGAAAACAGCTGAAGTGTCCAGTGCTGTGCAAAATGAACTATTGGGCTGCTTGAGCTGAGCTGGACAGGAAGTATAGTGCAAAAAACATGACGGGTGAAAAGCTGTGATCATGTACATACTGGCCATGCCGTGAACATAGTGTAATCATGGATAGGTAAGATACAATGTATTTCACATTATACCTCAGTCACAGTGACGTGCAGTGAGGTTCATGGCTGGTGAGGCACTGACTCTTTCAGTGTCAGATTTACAAATATTATATTCTGACCTTAATCGAAATATCATGTTATTTTCAAAAGCTTTTTTGGTCTGATGTTTCGATTCATTTTAAACAGACCGTTCAACAAAAGGATACCCACAATCTAAATATTGGATTGTTCTTTCTTAGTAAGAACCAATTTTCATTACCAATGTGGTCTTACCTTGACTTGAAGATGAAGTCCATGCTATCCTTCTGGACAAGGACAACAATCTCTATTACTTTTTTGTAAAAGTCCTCCTTATCTTCCTCTAGTTTCAAAAGTCTAGTTTGTTGTTTGCGTCTGGTCTACCGTCTCTGCGTAGAATAACAGTAGCAACAAGGACCTGTGGGCTCACGTGCGCCCCCTTCAGTGCGGCAGAGGTTATGGCTGCCTCCCCTGGTGCTTTTTTCATTGCCGTTGTACGGCGAGCCTAAATATCATATACGTGAAATAACTTATTTAGAGACTATGGATGGCGAGGATACATGTAATAAAGGGATCTACAAACATTACATTGGTGACATACAGTGAGATGGTAACAGGCATGCGCTTAGGGCCCGCTTTCCAGACAGTTTCTGTGAGGTGACGCATTTTGAGGTGAGGCAGAGCTCATCTGTATGAAGGGCCGTGTAGGCCAAAATTCAAACTCACCTCGCACACACACTACTGAAAACATCTCGCCTTGCACACACACTACTGAAATACTCTCACATTCATTACTGAACACCTCACACACACACTACTGAAAATTAACCTCACACACACACACTCCTGAAAAACATTTTACTGAAAGGTTCTCAGTAGGGAATGTGCATGTGTTTCACCTATGTGTGTGTGAGGGGATTCTTGCTGTAACGGAAGTCATTCTTGCTGTAACGGAAGTCATTCTAATGTAACGGAAGTCATTCTAATGTAACGGAAGTCATCTGCTAGTGGGTCTCCCCGTTAGCTTCATTAGCTCCAGGCTGCTACTCGGACGTGTTTGTTGTGTTGATGCCTGGTGGAGTATTCTTCATTGAAATATCGCACTTATCTTATGGCTCTGCGGTTCAAACAGACCGTCCATGAATGCAGTTTATTCGGTAAGTGAAATTCAAGCACTTTATTTCTTACTTGTCTTTTTATTGAGCTAACAAGCGAGACGAAGCTACATCTGTGCTAACGATGCTATCCGTAGCATACAAGTTAAAACATAATAGAGAAGTGTAAAACATTAAGAAGGATTATACTGTAAAACATAAGGCTTCTCGGTGAGGTTGGTAAAATAAGGTCATGCTTGTACATTAGTTAGTTTGCTAGTTAGGTAACTGTATGCATTGTTATTGTTAATTTAAAATAGCTATGCTCGACGATGCAGACAGCTAGCGTCACATTAGTGTTGAAGAGCAGAGTATGAGATTAACCTCACTATAAGATCTGTGTATCTGAAAAATATGAATCTCACATTTCCAGTTGGTTCCAGAAATAACGTTGACGTAGATATTGCAATATGGTTTGTTGAGCTGGAGTTGAAGCTTACTGGTTAACGTTCATCATATTAAACGAACGAACCCAAACGTTGTTGTTTTTATTAATATTATTACCAATACTTACTTAGCATTTTATTATCATTACACTGGAGAAACCGACTTATTGTGGCAGCAGAACGTGAACATGTAACTTAATGCCTGCATTTGAGGACGAAAAATGGCTCAGTCAATGCTTTAGGGACAAGGAAATGATTTGTTTAAATGTTAGATATGACGTTATGTGTGCTTCTGTGACAATGAAGCTTATTCATTGCATTACATTTGTTGAAGTTGTTTGTCTTTTACCCTTACGTGTGTGTGGGCTTTGATATCCAGCACTTTTTTTTAAGGATAACAAAAAGATTATCACATGACATTTGCATGTAAAAAAAAGTCTGTGACCAACACATTGTTACTTTACATATACATCTGTTTGTTTAAAGTTTCCAGGTGATGCAGACAGACCAGAGGATGCTGACCACGAGAGACAGACCTATTCCTAACATCAGTGAACTTCAGCATGGACTCAAAGGTACAAAGACTCCTTTCATACTGTACAAAGAATCGAGAAACGTTCTGGTTTAAATAGATAAAGTAACAACTATAATCAGCTTTCACATTTCAATGTATTTAAGGCAATTATTATTTTACATTGTGAGAATTGCTACCATTTGTCTCTACATATTGTCTGTAAAAGACGTGGTAAAAGTGGTTCTTGCAGTGAGACAACCGAGCAGTTGAATATTATTTAATAAGATATTTTAATGTTGATTAACTGCAGACTGTTCATTCATAATCTGATTATCTTTGTAGTACAAAGTGATGAATTAAAAAAACACATTAAAATTAAAAAAATACATTATTTCTACAGCCGCTAAATAAACAAACCTTTCATAAATAACACACTTGCTCTGCAATAATGTCATATGTTTGTCATTTCTGTTAGGAAAGGACATACCTGAAGGACACAACTGCCTCACCGTTTTCTCAGAGGGGCAAGAAGAAAATGAAAAGCTGATTTCAGATTAAAGACCAATACAGGACATTCACTAAGAAACTACACTTTTATTGTGAACACAAAGTCAAACAGGACCATCATTTGTTTGTGACAGCTGAGCCCAGTATGTGCTCACAGATGCAGTTTAGGGGGTTTCTCCATCAGGCCTGGCCCTCCTCCATCAGGCCTGGTCCTCCTCCATCAGGCCTGGCCCTCCTCCATCAGGCCTGGGCCTCCTCCATCAGGCCTGGGCCTCCTCCATCAGGCCTGGGCCTCCTCCATCAGGCCTGGGCCTCCTCCATCAGGCCTGGGCCTCCTCCATCAGGCCTGGGCCTCCTCCATCAGGCCTGGGCCTCCTCCATCAGGCCTGGGCCTCCTCCCAGAGAAAGACCTCTCCACCTCAGTCCTCTCCAGCCAAACCCACAGACAGGACATCCGTCATGCTGAGGTTTCTCCCAAAGTCTCTGCACGCTGTCTCAATTGATCCACACTGTGAATATGAGGGGGAAATGTGTGTCATAAATGCTTTAGACAATAAGAAATATGAAGTTAACTGTAAGGAATGGCTCATTGTTTTTTTAAATAGACAAAACTATTACTGTATTTCAATATCTCATGTCTGAAAGTTTAATTTAAAAGAAGAAGAGGCCCCAAAAATAAAGATTGGTATATCAATAAATGTAGTTGATTTTGTCTTTTTAATTGTTTAAAGTAGATAGAACTGGTACTTAAGAGTTTGAATACAGTCTGGTTGCGGAGGAGGCACACAGGTAAGAGCATATAGCTACCATCACATGTAACTAAGCTTGACTTGAATTTATTAAAATTAAGTAACAGCAACAAATCAATAACAAATCATGCAAAAATGTGAATCTTTGCTGTTGAATTTACCACATATTGTATGTTTTAGAAACCTTAAGGCATTTATAGATTTGTATGCAAGTAACATCCCAAAACTCAATACCTTAGATTATTATTGAACGTTTTGCTGACTCACTTTGGGGTCCTTTTTATTTTAGAATCGTTTTTCATGAGACAGTCAATTTAAATATTTGTACTATGCCATATTCACATTCATTTGTAACACACACGTAAGGGTAAAAGACAAACATCTTCAACAAATGTAATGCAATGAATAAGCTTCATTGTCACAGAAGCACACATAACGTCATATCTAATATTTAAACAAATCATTTCCTTGTCCCTAAAGCATTGACTGAGCTATTTTTCGTCCTCAAATGCAGGCATTAAGTTACATGTTCACGTTCTGCTGCCACAATAAGTCGGTTTCTCCAGTGTAATGATAATAAAATGCTAAGTAAGTATTGGTAATAATATTAATAAAAACAACAACGTTTGGGTTCGTTCGTTTAATATGATGAACGTTAACCAGTAAGCTTCAACTCCAGCTCAACAAACCATATTGCAATATCTACGTCAACGTTATTTCTGGAACCAACTGGAAATGTGAGATTCATATTTTTAAGATACACAGATTTTATAGTGAGGTTAATCTATGGGTTAATCTTCTCATACCGTACTCTGCTCTTCAACACTAATGTGACGCTAGCTGTCTGCATCGTCGAGCATAGCTATTTTAAATTAACAATAACAATGCATACAGTTACCTAACTAGCAAACTAACTAATGTACAAGCATGACCTTATTTTACCAACCTCACCGAGAAGCCTTATGTTTTACAGTATAATCCTTCTTAATGTTTTACACTTCTCCATTATGTTTTAACTTGTATGCTACGGATAGCATCGTTAGCACAGATGTAGCTTCGTCTCGCTTGTTAGCTCAATAAAAAGACAAGTAAGAAATAAAGTGCTTGAATTTCACTTACCGAATAAACTGCATTCATGGACGGTCTGTTTGAACCGCAGAGCCATAAGATAAGTGCGATATTTCAATGAAGAATACTCCACCAGGCATCAACACAACAAACACGTCCGAGTAGCAGCCTGGAGCTAATGAAGCTAACGGGGCTAGCAAAGAGACCACTAGCAGATGACTTCCGTTACATTAGAATGACTTCCGTTACAGCAAGAATGACTTCCGTTACAGCAAGAATCCCCTCACACACACATAGGTGAAACACATGCACATTCCCTACTGAGAACCTTTCAGTAAAATGTTTTTCAGGAGTGTGTGTGTGTGAGGTTAATTTTCAGTAGTGTGTGTGTGAGGTGTTCAGTAATGAATGTGAGAGGATTTCAGTAGTGTGTGTGCAAGGCCAGATGTTTTCAGTAGTGTGTGCGTGAGGTGTTCAGTAGTGAATGTGAGAGGATTTCAGTAGTGTGTGTGCAAGGCCAGATGTTTTCAGTAGTGTGTGTGTGAGGTGTTCAGTAGTGAATGTGAGAGGATTTCAGTAGTGTGTGTGCAAGGCCAGATGTTTTCAGTAGTGTGTGTGTGAGGCTTAATTTTCAGTAGTGTGTGTGAGGTGTTCAGTAGTGAATGTGAGAGGATTTCAATAGTGTGTGTGTGAGGCTTAATTTTCAGTAGTGTGTGTGTGAGGTGTTCAGTAGTGAATGTGAGAGTATTTCAGTAGTGTGTGTGCAAGGCCAGATGTTTTCAGTAGTGTGTGTGTGAGGTGTTCAGTAGTGAATGTGAGAGTATTTCAGTAGTGTGTGTGCAAGGCCAGATGTTTTCAGTAGTGTGTGTGTGAGGTGAGTTTGAATTTTGGCCTACACGGCCCCTCATACATCTGTGCCTCACCTTACCACACAGTAACTGGCTTGAGCGCGCTCACAAAATAAGTGCCCGCGCTAAATTAGTGCCCGCGCTCCAGCAAGTTACTGTGGGCTTACGTGAGGCAGAGCTCGTCCCTGCCTCACTTCTCATCGCTCCTATGTAGTTGTAGCGGAGCTCGGCAAATTTGCTGATTTTGACTATAAAAAGCGATTGGAATCAAACATAAATCACATTTATAACACAGATCAGTGGAGACATTTTATTATTACTATTTCGTTTTTCTTTAGTTGTTTTTCCGTTACATTGTAGTATGGCCAGTCTATGAATATGGCAGGTGAGGCTCTGCCTCCCCTGACTGCACGTCGCTGCTCAGTCAGTAGAGCCACCCTTTCCATCTCCAACCCGTCTCTTGTTTCACCACTAGGGATGTTTGGACAGAAATGTACATCTCCCTTCCTGGGCTTCTTGATGTTGGCTGCTGGAGTTTGCTGGCCACTTCGCTTGTTTTTCAGAGAGTTGATGGCAACCTCGGGGTGTCCAGCTCGGCTGAGGAGGAGAATTATATTTTATCAGCACCTTTCACGGACCAGGATCACAAATTGCTTCACAATTTAAACACAATGGGCTCTATTTTGGTTTTGTCCTAAACGCCATGTCTTTAATACATGTATCCTGCCGCAAAGTGGCACAAGACCTTGAACGCAAGTCCTTGAATCTGTCGCACTGGCATTTAATATCTTGCACCACCTTGCGCCGGCACAAATATATGTTAAAGCATAAGCCTTAGCACTTGGGACAGCAACAAAAAAAGAACCCATTAAATAAAACACAAACCTCAGCTTGGTGCGGAAGTTCATCATTTTTATTTTCAGGTAATGCTTCCAGCCACAGTATCCAGTTTGTGTTGCTTTTTCCAGTAAACATGGATGTGACTGTGTCAGAGCCTTTGCCACTTCTTCTAACTGCTCGTCCCTCGGGTAAGCTGTGTACTTTATTATTTCCTCAGCAAGGCCTTCAAGAATATCTGAGCGCACTTTTGGCGTAGGAGACAGAAAAGTTCTGTGTGCCTTGAACTCATCATTTCCTTTCTGGAGCATAATTTCGGCACAGGATGAGAAGCGGGGCACGACAAAGGGTTTAGGCCAGGAGCAGGACCGGGTCTCGGGCGATGACAAGATGATGGTATCATTGGTGGCGTAGGAGTCACTGGTCACTTCCAGGCCTACACATAGCAGTCCCTCTAGGTAGTATATTCCCCTTAAAGCCACGGTGCTTAAGGGGGATGGCTTTTCGGACTGTTCCCGGGCCTTCACATAGCAGTCACTAGGTAGTATATTCCCCTCAAAGCCGCGGTGCTTAAGGGGGATGGCTTTTCGGGCTCTTCCCGGGCCTTCACATAGCAGTTTCATTAGGTAGCATAGGTAGTATATTCCCCTCAAAGCCGCGGTGCTTAAGGGGGATGGCTTTTCGGGCTGTTCCCGGCCTAGCAGTCACTAGGTAGTATATTCTCCTCAAAGCCACGGTGCTTAAGGGGGATGGCTTTTCGGGCTGTTCCCGGGCCTTCACATAGCAGTCACTAGGTAGTATATTCCCCTCAAAGCCGCGGTGCTTAAGGGGGATGGCTTTTCGGGCTGTTCCCGGGCCTTCACATAGCAGTCACTAGGTAGTATATTCCCTTTAAAGCCGCGGTGCTTAAGGGGGATGGCTTTTCGGGCTGTTCCCGGGTCTTCACATAGCAGTCACTAGGTAGTATATTCCCCTCAAAGCCGCGGTGCTTAAGGGGGATGGCTTTTCGGGCTGTTCCCGGGCCTTCACATAGCAGTCACTAGGTAGTATATTCCCCTTAAAGCCGCGGTGCTTAAGGGGGACGGCTTTTCGGGCTGTTCCCGGGCCTTCACATAGCAGTCTCACTTAGTAGTATATTCCCCTTAAAGCCGCTGTGCTTAGGGGGAATGGCCACATGGCAGCTCGCCAGGCCCTCTACTTATCAGTCTTACATCACCAGCGTCAGGCTCAGGCTACGCAGTTTTGGGGGATAGTATCTAATCTCCACGCAGTTTTGGGGGTTAGTTATTTAATCATCACTCATCATGCTATGTATATCTATGGAGCAGTGGCGAGCCGTCAGGGCCCTCTAGGCCCTCTGCGAGGGCCTAAGATATTCTAAAAAATAATATTTAAAACATTAATAAAAAAAACTTTTTTTTTTAAATATAATTTTTTATATTTTTTTGTTGTTACATTTTTCATTAGTTTTACCAAAATAACTTGATTTAGTTGTATTTAAAATAATATTTCCAAAGAAATAAATCCTTCGAATCTGCCTGTTCAGTTTCTGTTAGAATGTGAAGGGTTAAATGCCGTCTCTGCGAGTTATGTGAAGACCGGAGGGCTTGTTGGTCCCTCTCTACATTCACTGAGGGCCCGCTATAGTAACTCAATGAGAGAGTAATGTCAAATGACAGTACAATTGACCAATCACATCTTCCCTCTAAATGGGCGGGCATTATTTTCGCGGACTTTATGACAAGTTCCGCCCGCTGTGAGGTCTATGCAAGTGGTGCAGTGACGCGTCCTAAAACCCGGAAGTAAGCTTCGCTC